AAAGTGGTTAGAAAATACCCACCCAAAAAACGGGCAAAAACCAAAAAAAAAAAAAAAACCAAAAAAAAAAAAAAAAAAAAAAAAAAAAGAATAACCTAAATAAAAATGGGCAAAGGATCTGAACAGACATTTCTCAAAAGAAGATATACAAATGGTCAACAAGCACATGAAAGAATGCTCAACATCAGTAATCATCAGGGAAATGCAAGTTAAAAGCCCAATGAGATATCATTTTACTCCAGTTAGAATGGCTATTACCAAAAAGCCCGGCAGGATTCAGAGGAAAGGGAACTCTCATACATTGTTGGTGGAAATGTAAATTAATACAGCTATCATGGAAAACAGTATCTATGGAGGTTCCTCATAAAATTAAAAATAAAACTACCATATAACCCAGCAATCCTACTACTGGGTATATATCCAAAGGAAATTAAATCAATATATCAAAGAGGCACCTGCACTTTCATGTTCTTTGCAGCACTATTCACAACAGCCAAGAGATAGAATCACCCTAATGCCCACAAATGAATAAATGGATAAAATACAATCTGTGGTATATATACACAATGGAATACTATTCATCTGTGAAACAAAAAATTTAAATCCTGTCATTTGAAGCAACATGAATGGAACTGGAGACCATAATGTTAAGTGAAATAAGCCAGGCACAGAAAGACAAATACAGCATGATTTCAATCAGATGTGGAATCTAAAAAAAAAGTGGTTCTCATAGAAATAGAGTAGAATAATGGTTACCAGAGGCCAGGAAGGGAAGAGGGCAAGGGGGAGGAGAAGTGGTGGACTAATAGGGTAAAAGACTACAGGTAGATAGAACAAGTTCTGTTGTTCTAGGGTGACTAGAGTTAATATCATTATATTGTATATTTCTAAATAGCTAGAAAAGAAGATCTTCACTGTAATCAACACAAAGAAAGATAAATGTTTAGGTGATGGATATGCTGTCTACCCTAAGTGAATCATTGTACAATATGTGCACGTATTACAACAACGCCCTGTACCCCACAAATATGTACAACTAAACTTAAAGAATAAAAATAGTCCTCTTTCCAGAGCAGCTGATGTTGCCTTAAAGCTCATCTCATTCTCAAGCAACTTTCATGAAGCCAGAAAGCTGGTAGTAGAACCTGGCACAGACATTAGAACACCTCATTTAGATGTAGTTTCCATGTTTTCTGCTTATTCTTAAATATTCTATAAAATCCTGACCACTCCATTATTAGTACTATATTAACCCTTGTGGCAGTTAAAAAACAAAGGCAGCGACAGAGCTTGTAAACCACAGAACACATTCACTTTTGCATTTTTACTTGCTTGGGTTTTACTCAGGTGGGTCAGTTGCAAGAAGAACCACACAGTAAGAAAAGAGTTCTGAATTCGCCAGAAAATACTTCCACTTTGGACTTGAGATGCTTTTGGAAAAAACAAAAGAAAACAAAACAAACTTGTTCTCCAAGCACCTGGTCTAGCATTTTCTTATCAGATTTAAGAAGCTTTGTAACATCTTTTTGACCACATTTTCTCCGGTGCATCCATGGAATCCAAAACCTTTTCAACTTGTTCAGGTGTAGCTCTTCTGGTCTAAAGTTAGAAACGTGTCTTTCTTCAACAGAACACTCAAAGCCCGTATATGTATTTTTCAGTGTTTATAGATAGATACAAGTCTCTATACATTCAAGATATTGGGACAAGTGGTGCCACCACAGTGGGGCCATGGGAGATAGTGATAGTTTCTTTTCACTGTGTACCTGTGACAGATACCACAGGTTACCTCTCAACACCCATTCCAACCCATCTTTTTTCCTTTGCCTTTCTCACTGTAGAACTGAAATGCTAAAAACTTACCTTCCAAGACTTTTGTGGCCAGGGGTGGCCATGAGCTGTCTGCAGAAAAATTTCTACACTTTGCCCTTTGCCCTTCCCTCTTCCTTCAGCCTCGAATTCCAACACAATTCTTGGAGCCCAAGAAGCCGTGGGGGCAAAATCCACACACTAAGGATGCTGGGACAGGAGAAAACTGTTTTTTTGAGTAGGTCACAAGTTTTACACTACTCCTGGAAATCTAGTTATATGAGAAAAATAACTCTCCCAACGTGTTGATCCTTTGCATATCACAAGTGATGCAAAGCTGATAGTAATGCTAACTTTTGGTAGTTTTTTAAAAATTTCAAAGTTTGGACCCAGTGCATGTATTACCCATTTAAAAAATGATTTAAAAAAATTTAAAACATATGTTGTCTGAGTTACTGACAACTAATGTGTCCTGACATTCGCCAAAGAGCTGAGATTCTTGATTTATTTTGAGTTCTTTGATACAATGCCCCCTAGTGGTATTTACAGGAATAAAATTTCAAAATTAATCTGTCAGTATTCCTAATTGCAAACAACAGAACCCACTTCAGTAAGAATAAGCAGAAAAAGGATATATTAAGGGCATGGGCATTATCAGCCCTACTGCTAGCCCAAAGTGCAGATGAAAATGTCATCCATTCCTCAAGACACCTCATTTCCATTGATTGAAGTGGATTTCCAATTGCTATAATAAATATGTGATAACTATAAATGTGAATGGTGTCCCTCTGAAGTTGTGTGCTTGTACAACCTGTTCCACCCATAAGCAGCCCTGGAGACCAAGTGGCTCTGATAATTTCTGGAAGGGTGTGAGAGTCAAACTTGGAAGCCACACAGTCATGAAACACTCCCAAATTATGTTGCAGGTCTGCTCTATGGGAGACCTAGTCACTGCTGCTGGGCACAGACACCACATTTGATTCGTGAAGTCTGGGTCACTTACCTATATCCTGGCTGCAAGACACGGTGAGAAAGAAAGTTCGTAGATTCTACGTGGGGAGGTGCTGACTCAAAAAACCGGAATTCACCAAATTTAGTAAGGATGTTTGGAATGGTTAATTTTAATGTGTCAACTGACTAGCTAAGGGATGCCTAGATAGCTGATGAAACATTATTTCTGGGTGCATCTGTGAAGGTGTCTCTGGAAAATATTAGCATTTGATTCAGTTGACTGAGTAAGGAAGAATACCCTCATCAATGTGGGTGGGCACCAGCCAATCCCTTGAGGGCCCACATAGAACAAAAAAACAGAGGAGAGGCAAGTTTCTTGTTCTTTACTTGAGCTGGGCCATCCATCTTATCCTGTATTTGGATGTCAGCCCTCCTGGTTCTTGTGCCCTTGGACTCAGACTGGGACTTAGACCATTGGCTCTTCTGTTCTTGAGCCTTCAGGCTTGGACTGGATTACGCCACTGGCTTTCCTGGGCCTCCAGCTTGCAGACAGCAGATCGTGGGGCTTCTCATCTCCATAACTGTGTGAGCCAATCCCTCGTAATAAATCTACATCTCTATCTCTATCAATATTCATACATATCTCCTACTGGTTCTGTTTTTCTGGAAAACCCTGACTAATATAGTGTTGGATGGCTTTGAGGATTATCCTAAAAGCATGATGAATGACAGATGTCCACCAGAGCTGGCAGATACTGTGTTTAGCAATTTCTTCTTTCCTTGGTATAGCTTCTCTCAAACTTCTTAGTGTCCTCCCATTATTATAAAATTCTAGCTTCTTCTAAGCTCCTTCTGAATTGGTGAGTTCTCACTGAGAGTTGAGAGACATTTTCCCTCATTATGACTATCACTGTCCTCATAAGCCCCTCCTGCTGATATATTAAACAACAGTTAGCAGATCATGCAGAGTGGAAGTTGCAGAGAATTGCAAAAGTCCTATCTATAAGGCGTGTGCATTTTATAATTCTTGGAACCAGAGCCTAGCTTCTATTTGTAATCCATATTCAGCTAGAGGACAGTGACTTGATCCACTCACTTGATTGACGTCTAAAGACTCATGTTACCTGATGAAGAAACCCAGAAGAGGATAGAAAGGAGTCAGGAATGGCTGTCACTCAGGTTCCATTCTAATTTCTAGACATGTGGATTCAGGAGCTTGCTCTGTCATTTTTAGCTCTTCAGCCTCAGGGATGGTTGACATTCAGGGATGTGGCCATAGAATTCTCTCAGGAGGAGTGGAAATGCCTGGACTCTGCTCAGAGGGCTTTATACAGGCTCATGATGTTGGAAAACTACAGGAACCTGGTCTCTCTGGGAGTCTCTTATTTTGACCTAAATGTTATCTCCATGTTGGAGCAAGGGAAGGACCCCTGGGCTGTGGAGAGCCATGAGAAAATAGCAAGAAATCCAAATTGGCAGGAATGGATCTAAGGTGTGAACACAGATATCTCTCCTGAATGTGTAATGAAGGAATTACCATCAAAAGAGAACAACAGTACAGGAGAAGTATTCCAAACAATGATGTTGGAAAGACATGAAAGCCATGACATTGAAGAATTTTCCTTCAGGGAAGACCAGAAAAATATACATGGCCTTTGAATGTCAGTGGAGAGATTATGAAAGAAATTACAAAGGAGTGCCCATGACCCTAAAAGAAAGTCTCACTGGTAGAAGAGGTCACTATGTTAGAAAGCATGCAGGAAAAATGCTTAATAAGACTCAGCTTGGGTTTAGCTTTCAGTCACACCTGCCTGAGCTGCAGCTGTCTCAGTCTGAATGGAAAGTTTATGAATGTAATCAAATTGAGAAGTCTATGAAAAAGGGTTTTTCAGTTTCACCAGTTCAAGGAATTTGTTCCAATGTCAAAGCTCTCATTTCTAAAAAATATGGGAATGACTTTATTTATTCTTCATCACTCACACAAGGACAAAAAGCAAACACTTGGGAAAAACCTTACACGTGTAATGAATGTGGCAAGGATTTCAGTCGTCTTTCACACCTTGTAAGTCATCAGGTAATCCACACTGAAGAAAAACCTTATAAATGTCATGAATGTGGCAAGTTCTTCAGTTATCCTTCAAGCCTTACAAATCATCAGAGAGTTCATACTGGAGAGAAACCTTACAAGTGTAATGAATGTGGCAAAGTCTTCACTCAAAATTCAAATCTTGCAATGCATTGGAGAATTCATACTGGAGAGAAACCTTACAAGTGTAATGAGTGTGGCAAAGCCTTTTGTACACATTCAAAGCTAACTACCCATTGGGTAATCCATACTGGAGAAAATCCTTTCAAATGTGATGAATGTGGCACGGTCCTCAGTAATTCTTCAAGCCTTGCATATCATCGGAGAGTTCATACTGGAGAGAAACCTTACAAGTGTAATGAATGTGGCAGAGTCTTCACTCAAAATTCACATCTTGCAAAGCATCAGAGAATTCATACTGGAGAGAAATCTTACAAGTGTAGTGAGTGTGGCAAAGCCTTTGGTGTGCGTTCAAGCCTAACTGCCCATCAGGTAATCCATACTGGAGTGAAACCATATACATGTCACAAGTGTGGCAAATCCTTTCTTCAGCGTTCATGCCTTGCTACCCATCAGATAATCCATACTGAACAGAAGCTTTACAAATGTCAAGAATGTGACAAGGTCTTTAGTTGCAATTCACACTTTAGACAACATCAGAGAATTAATACTTGAGAGAAATCTTACAAATGGAATGACTGTGGCAAACTCCTCATCATGGGTTCAAGCATTAATCTGCATCAGAAGGTCCATACTTAGAAGAAATATAACTGTAGCATATGTGGCAGAGGATTTTTTCAGGACTCAAAACTGACTAGCATCAAAATATACATTTTTGATGCAACCACACAAACATTGTGTGCATGCTATGACTTTTACACAAGGATCAAAACTTGAATATCAGAAAATTTAAACTGGACAAGAACCTCACAAATGCAATGAATGCAGTAAGGCTTTTATTAAACATTCATGTTTCTGGAGTCATAAGAGGATTTATAGTGCAGAGAATCCAGACAAAGGTAGTGAATGTGGAAAGAACTTTAATCAAATGTGTGTCATCCGGGTTCCCCCCCCCCCCAAATTTATCCTTGAAAGAACCTTATAAATGGAATGATATGATCATTTTTAAAAAAAAAAACAATTTTCACAACATATTCCACATCAGAGATTTCACACAAGGAATAATTGAGTTACATACTGGAGAATAATTACATGACAAATAATGTTAAAGCTCATGATATATCAGGTTGCAAGGACGTTTGGAAATGGCCAAGTATCTTCAGGCTATAAAATGTTTTCTTCAACTATCAAAATAAATAAATAAATAAACAACAGTTCCCCGTTCTTACCTGCCCTCAGCTCCTGGCAACCACTATTCTTTCTGTTTTATGAGTTTGACTGCTTCAGATATCTCACTGAAGTGGAATCACACGATACTTGTCTTTTTGTGACTGGCTTATTTACTTAACATAGTGTCCTCAAGGTAGCATGTGTCAGAAGTTCCTTCCTTTTTAAGGCTGAAAAATATTGCCTTGTATGTAAATACCACATTTTGCTTGTCCATTCCTACAAAGATGGACACGTGGGTTGCTTCCACTTCTAGGCTATTGTGTATACTGCTGCTGTGAACGTGGTGCACAAAAACGAGTATGAGAAGTGGTTTTTAGGTTCCTGTGCGCAGGACGGATGCAGAGGGCGATAGTGGCAGCGGGAAGACTAGACAGGATGTGCTGGAACCCACGTTCACTGCCGTGTTTGAAGACCCAGCTCAAATGGGTCTCATGTTACCTGGTTTTAAAAGTCAGCCTGGTTTCCGCAGACAGAGCGAGCGTCTCCTTCCTGCATCCACACTGTCCCCTTAGACCGGTGCACCACGTATGTGTGTTTTCTCCCCATAGACCACGGGTGCCTCGGGGGTGACCTGGGCAGCCTCCAGCCCTGCTCCCGGACAGGAAATGGGATGCACAGGCTGTCCTTTCAGCTCTCGGGGGGTCTCTGGGGGAATGCACGCCTGCCTTTCTATTCCCGGTAATATAAGTTCAAATGTTTACGGATGTTTGAAGCTGGGATGAAAGCGTTTCTGTTCATGCCGCCAGCAGCTGTGAGGCCTTTTCTTCCCTTGTTTTTTTTTAGAGCAAGAGCCCACAGCAGGGCTTGGGTTGCTCGGCCGGGGAGGGACTGCGGAGTGGGCAGCGGGACTCGCCCGGCGCTGAGCGCGGAGGGAAGGCAGAGCCCGGGAGCAGCCCCGCTGGGCCGGGGGGCGAGGCGAGGGCGGGCGGGCTGCGGCCTGGGATGGGCGCCCCGGCGCGG